TTCTCTCTCTCTCTCTCTCTCCCCCCCCCAAACCTTTGTACTTCCTTAAAGCTCATTCCCTCCTCAGCTCACTGCATTTGAGCTTCTTTTCTCTCAGGCTTTCACTTTGTTACCACTTTGCCAAATCCAATAAGTAATCCAAATATTACTTTCCTTCCTTAAATTATCTTCTATCATGGTTTCTGGGCACCTATCTCTTAGCTTTCCTTTACTTTTTTTAGGTGATTTCCAGTGAAATAACCTGACCTTTGCCAGCCACTGCATTACTGATCTTCCTTGTCTCTCCAGCTTTCTTTAAACTCACCATATGCCACACACTTCTATGCCCACCACACAGTATTGACTTCCTATTTCTTAAGGAAGGCATGCTTTTTTTCTTTTTTATACACGTAGGATTTTAAACTTCTCTTCCCTCTACCTAGAAATATCCTCCTAGTTCTTCCAGCGGTTGGTTGCTTCTCACCATTCAGGTATTGGGTCTGATGTTGCCATTCAGTTCAGACACTCTCTGTGATAGCCCTTCCAAAAATAGTGATCTACCTGTTACCCACCCCTATCCTATTATAACTTGTTAAACTCGTTCTGTAACAGTCATATCTGTAACTCTTAACACCTTCTTAAATCATCCAGTTTGCTGCCTGGCATCAGAACCCTTGCCTGACCTGTTTTTGCTTTATCCCTAGGAGGAAGAACACTGACTAGATCTCTAATATAACATTGAATCAAAGGGGTGGTAGTAAATATAATTGTCTTGATTCTGACCTTAGAGACCAGTATTTCACCTTTAAATGTGATAGACCTGTAGGTTTTTTATAGATTTCTGGGGTCATAGAGGAAATTGGGCCATAGAAAAATGATGGATTTAGAAAGTAGAAATGGGGTAAATGGATTTTCCAAGCATAGGGAAGAGCCACTAGCACTAATGCAGATGGTCTCCTTTGGCTGTAGCTTGAATGCAGGTAGTGGAAGCTACACATTTGTCAGAATATCCCCCTAATCTACTCCCAAGCATGATAAGTAATGTGTGTTGGGGAGAAGTAGAAGGACATATAAGAATTAATGAAAAGTTATCATGGGACCAAATCATGGAGATGAAAAGATAGCTGGAAGTAGCTCTGGGAGAAGAGTGGAGCCAACGTGAGCACAGTTAGGTCATTAAGAAAAGTTGGTTAGGTGTGAAGGGGTGCCTCTTTTGGTGAAAACACAACTCTTTTAATGTTGTGTGTTATGACTTGGAACTCTTCTTAGAAGTTTATTGCAATTTAGCAGAAAATTTAAGATTAAAGGATAAAATGTGGGCATCCTTTACATTATAGAGGGAGTATATGAGAATTTGAAGAAATCTTAGTTCTGTGAGATTGGTTATTCATTTACCATCTTTGAACTTTACTTCCACCAATAAAATTAGGGCATTGGATCAAATGTTTCTGGTGGTTCTTTTCATTTTTACCCTCTGACTTTGACAGACAGGTGAAGGAAACAATAAAAACAAATATATTTGCAAATTAAAATGGTTAATGACTGAATTGTGTTTATGAAGATCTTAAAACTCAATACTTCTTTCTGAAGTGAGAAGCTGGAGAAGAATATGGAGATAGAGTTGATCCACGATTGAGTTTTTGTTGGCTATCAGTTGTAAAAATCCCCTTTCTTCCTTAATTTCTGTGATATTTGTATTGAAACAGTTCAGGAATTGGCTCTGTCATCAGGAACAGCATTTCCATGTTTCTGATTATTTGTTTTATTTAAAAATATAGGAGAGAGTAAGGTGTTATTTGCCTAAATGATGTGTTTATTAATGGATACCCATTGAAGCCCTTTTTGGGTCACTCACTAAACATTTTTTTTCTTCTTCACCTCTATGGAGAGGACACATTTTCCTTTATCCCTGTGCTTTGGCCTTACTCCCCCCGCTGAGGTATTTAATTCATTCACTGTTCTTAGTTATAAAGCCTTTCAATTTATCCAAATGAAATTACATTTTCTGATATCTAATTAACTTTACAGCTATTTTAAGAATTTTCAAGAAACACTGCAATGTCCACGTCAATAAGGAGGAGAAATTGATTTTACTCTAAGCATAGTGGACAAGGAGGCAATTCCTTGGCAAATAAACTCATGGATATCTACTAGTTTTGCTTAATTCCCTGTGCTTCTGAAATTGTCCTTATAAAACCACCTAATATATCCATTTTATAAAAAGTTAATGATGCAACTTCTAAGTTACACATTAAAAGTTAATGTTTAAGTAGGAAGGATTAAAAAATGAGGCACAGTGTTTACTGTCTTTTAAAGATGTGCTCTCAGCCCTGTAGTTTCTTTTGTTTATCTGCCCAGTTGCAATAGCCTTATTTTATATTTCAAATATTTCATCCTGTCCTCTCCATCAACGTAATGCTTGGTATCTCTACACCATCCATTTTGTCATTTGGACCACTGCAGGAGCCTTTTAACTGTTCTCCCTTACTCAAGCATAAAGCAACTCTGAGTTTCTATTATAGCCCTCTAAAATATATCAAAGATATCATTCTTTTCCTTATCACTCTTCAGTTACTCTTCATCACACAGAGCAGTGTTCTCAAAAAATGACATGCATAAGAATCACCTTGGGGACTTTCTGATTTAATATGTCTAAAGATTCTGACATATATTTTTCCTAGACCCCCACATTTCAAGAAACTATAGCTCTTAGCTAGTGTGCTAATAGCTATTGAATGCATATCATGTGCCAGGATTGGTCCAAAGATATTTGCTGTTTAATTTAATTCTTTCAATTATGTTTTGAGGTAGGAACTCTTCTGCTTCCCATTACATAGATGATACCACTCAGGATAACATAAGTTCAAGTTTGTTGTGATAGCCCTTACCATTCTGAGTCCTGCTTATCTCTTTAACCCCCCTGGTTGTCACTCTTTTTACCTCCTTTGAACTGCAAATTCAGTGATATTGAAATACATGTTCCCTAAAAAATTGTCATTTCTTTTCATGTATTTGAACTTTTATTCCCATGTCCTGAAGCTTCTTTCCCCTGATTTTTTTTAACTTAGAAAATATGCTATTCATCCTTCAAGACCTTCTATACAGGAAACTTCTTCAAGAAGTCTCACATAAATACAAACCCTCATTAAATTAGTTGACTCCTATTTTTTAAGACATTTTATGTATGCTGTGATAATGAGATTTATCACAGTGTCTGAAAGTGGTCTGTGTTTTTTTCTCCTCTCCTTAATTTTTGACTGAAGCTACTTTGAGGGTTAAAACCTGTTAATTCTCTTTTGTAACAGCATCCTATAACGCAGTGCTCCACATAGAACTGGAGCTCAGTAAAGTGTCTCTATGTACTTTGAAAGGAACATGGCTACCTTTTAGTCTGCCTGTGCCATTCTTCTGTCTTGTGTTAGAGACAGAGTCTCAAAATGCACAGAACCACTAACAGTGAATTATGGTGGGAGAAGATTGTATTCAATTATGGTTGTTAGTGGGCAAACTTGGGCCTTACAAGTGAATAGTAAAGGGGATGAATGTGTGAAAAGAGAATAATGGTATACGTAAAGTAGTGTGGGTTGAGATTAGATTTCTAGAAAGTATATGACCCATTTTGTTTCTGCTGTAATTTGTTTTCTTAAAGTTTTTCCGTCTTATATTTGCTCTTTTGAAAAAGATGCCACTGTTCTACTTCTCTTTTCAATATATGTGTGAATATTTAATGAATGGAGATTTGAAACATTAATAATGTCTAAAGCCAAACTAGATAAAACAACTCTACATGATGGATGGACCCCTAGCTCTTCATGCCCAAAGGCTAAATGTTGGACAGTCAACAGAAGTCCTGTTTTATTTCAGAGGTCATGAATAAACTATAAGAGGTGTTAGACTTAATATTTCTAGCCTTTATTTTCTTATCAAGTGATATGAGTGTCATTTTAACTTACAAACATTGGGTTATCTCAAAGTACTTTTTCTATGTTCTCTTACAAGTGAACAAAAGACTAGAGTTATTCACCTGGCTTCATATTCAGAAATTCTAAATTCATGCATGGCATCAATGTGTTTTACTACATGAGGCATGATTTTGTGGAATAGTAAGTATTTTTATAAAAATACTGCACAGCTTTAGGAACATAGTATGGTTTCATTTGTTTGGTAGAATCTGTATTTACAGAAACAGAAGGACAATTTTTATCTGTTTTGTACTTACTTATTATGTAATGCTACCCTGTAGGGATAATGAAGCAGTAAGAACATTTGCTTTATGTCATTTTAGCTGCAGACATTCAAGACTGCCTCTCCTTGTCAAGATGTCAAACAGCTCACTAATGGAGTTACCATGGCACAAGTTCTTCATCAAATGTGAGTAGCTATCAAATTCTTCCTAAAAACAATTGTAAACTTAATAGCAAGAAAGAACACTGAGATTGTATTTGAAAGGTTATTGAAATTTTGTCCTATTCAGTAACATTTTTAGACATTCTTGGAAGTAGGAAACAAAAACATTACCACTTCATTATTGCTTGATTGCTCATAGGGATACATCTTCACTAAATAAGTTCTTCTAAGGAGTAGCGGGGTTTGATTGAGGGTGAGGCTAGGTTAAGGAAAAGGTGTTGGGGGATAGGAAATCCCAAGGCTGCTTTTTTTGCTAACTGATCCACCTGGTTGTTGGCCTGGGATAGGTATTTTCCATTCCTTTGGTGTCCCCTACAATGGATGATTGCTATCTGAGCAGGGAGAGTTGCCACCTGAAGTAATTTATTAATTAATTCTCCATTTATAATGGGGGTTCCTTGCTGGGTTAGGAATCCTCTCTCTCTCCAAATTAAAACATTGGCGTGAATAATGTTGTATGTATATCTGGAGTCAGTGTAAATGTTAATTATCTTATCTTTAGCTAGTACTAAGGCTTGGGTGAGGGCTATTAATTCTGCCTGCTGAGATGAAGTCCTAGGGAACAGAGTTTTGGCTTCTATCACCCATCAGGGAGAGACGCAGTCTTGATCATTATGAAATCCCTCAATTATTGCATATCTTGCCTGGTAGGGGTGGGCCTTATGGGAATTCCTGTCAGTGAATGAGTCAGGGGCCCCAGAAAGGTGAGAATCTGTAATATGGGAAATAGGGCTAAGACTGAAGTCCAGGGCTTCAAGGCATGAGTGGGTGGGGGTGGGGGGATTCCCTGAAAAAAGTAGAGATAGTGGGGAGAAGGGTGGCGGGATTTAGGATAGAGCATCAAGTGAAAGATATTTGGGGATCTAAGACTATGGCATGAAGTAGTTGAACCCTGGAAGGAAGGAGGGAAAGAAAAGCCGATGGCTCAGAAGGTGTGTCAGGGAGTGAGAAAGCAGGACATGGAAGGGACTATGAAAGGTTAATTTGTTGGCCTCTGGGATAAGGAGTGAGGCTGTCACTAGAACTTAGAGGCATTGGGGCCAGCCCTGGGATACTGGGTCTAGTTTTTTGGATAGGTAGGCGATGGGGTAAGGAGTGTCACTGGCCTTTTGGCATAGGAGACCTAGAGCTTGGCTTTTATCTGAATGATATAAAGGAAGAAGGGTTTGGTAGGATCGGGGACGTAGAGGGAAGATGCATGGCCTTTTTTAGGGCAGTAAAGTTGGTGGAAAGGGATGAGAGGGCTAGGAGAGGTTCCCCTAGGGCCCCTTTGGTGACATTGTAAAGGGGCATGGTTAGTAAAGAAAAATTGGGTATCTCTATCCTAAAGTAGTTGAATAAACCCTGTAGGGAGAACAATTCCTGTTTGTTAGAGGGCAGTGGGGTGTTAAGGAGTAAAGCAAGGTGATCGGGAGGGATGGAGTGGCGGCCAGGTGAAATGCAAAGTCTTAGGTAAGTGATAGATGTGGTTACCAGTTGGGTCTTGGCTTTGGAGACCTGATAACCCCAGGTGGCCAGGGTGTTCAGGAGAATGACAGTATGTTGTGTGCACAATTGTTGTGTGGAACTGCAAAGGAGGAGGTTGTCCACATACTGATGAGACTGCTAGGGGCCAGTTGAAAGGACTCAAGGTCCTGTTGGAGAGCCTGTCCAAAGAAATGAGGTCTGTCCTGGAACTGTTATGGCAGAATGGTCCAGGTTAGTTGTTGTGAGGTGAGAGTGTCCGGATCAGACCAAGTAAAGGTGAGGAGAGGTTGGGAGACAGGGTGGAGCAGAATACTGAAAAAGTCATCTTTTAGATCTAATACAGTAAAGAATTGTGTCTGGGGAGGGATAGTAGAGAGGAGAGTATAAGGGTTGGGGACAATAGGGTGTGTAGGGAGAATGGCCTCATTTTAAGTCTTGTACCAGCTGGTATTGGCCATTGGATTTCGGGACACCCAGGATGGGGGTATTGTGAGGAGAGTGAGTGGGAATGAGAAGTATGGCTTGAAGGAAATGGGAAATGATAGGTTTGAGTCCCATGAGGGTTGGAGGCAGGAAGGGATATTGTGAGACATTAACAAATGTGTTGGGGTCTTTAAGGGAGATAATAACTGGCTTAGGATGTTTGGCCACCCGAGGATGGTTGGTATCCCAAACTTGAGCGTTAATTGAGGGATTTTGGGGGTTTAAGGGAGAGGGGGCTAAGGAAGGAGGGGAGGGAGAAGGAGGAAGGGGAGGAAGAAGGGGGGGAGGAGGAGGAGGAAAGGGAGGAGGAGAGGTATTTCCAGGTTCTTTAGGGGAGTTCTGTAGGAGAAACAGGGTTGTAGAATTTAATATGGGAATATGAAGGGAGGCACCCAATTTATGAAGTAAATCCCTTCCCAGAAAAGGAATGGGGCATTGAGGTATAATAAGGAAGGAATTGGTCAGGACCGTTTGTCCAAATATACATAAAACTTTAGGAGTTTTATGGGAAAACTCTTGGATACCTGAGACTCCCACCATAGGGGTGTGGCTCTTTGTGGAAGGACCAGACCATGAGGTGAGGAGAGAGAAGGTAGCCCAGTATCAGCCACAAAGGAAAAGACTTGGCCAGCTACCATCCCAGTCACTGGGCTCCTTGGACCCTGAAAGTTCTGCCGGGGGTCTGGGGAGTCCAGGCCTCCTCATTCGAGTAGTTGGTGGAGGGGTGTTTCTGGGACATCCACGGAAGGTACCGAGGCTTGGGGGCGGCCAACCCTGTGGGCACTCCCATTTCCAATGTCCCCACTGACCACAGATCAGGCATGGCTTAAATGGGGGGTGGGGATTAGGACAGGCTCTGGCCTAGAGGCTGGGATTGCCACAGGGAAAGCAATTTCCTGATGGTGTGGCTGTAGAGGGGCGAGCAGTCCCAGAACTGGGTGTTGCCCTGGAAACCCTCTGACTGAGAGTGGAGGCCAAGAGTTGGTATTTGGCCTTGAAGCTGGTCTCTTTTTTCCGACTGGGTTTCCTCATCGCTGTTATTCAAGACTCAGACAGCCACATTTAGGAGCTCCTGTTGGGATGTCTTGGGTCTCTGTTCTAGCTGGCAGAGCTTTTATCGAATGTTGGGGGAAGATTGGCTAATAAATTGAGCATGAAGGAAGAGGGTGCTTACCAGGGAGATCAGGTCTAAATTAGTATATTTAGTAATGGTCTCCATGAGGTGATCCATAAAAAGAGCCTGGTTTTCTTCAGCCCCCTGAGAAATCTCTAATCTTACCATAATTTACTTGGGTGTGGTCATTCTTTTGCATCCCCTCGAGGAGGCAGGTCACCATGTGGTTAATACGAAGGGGGCCTGGGTTGCCCAGCTGATTGGCCCAGTTGGGTTCAATTGAAGGGAGAGCCATATCTGCCACTGGGTTAGGGGCTGGATTCTGGCTGTGATGCTGATACGCACATTCTTGAGCCGATTGCCAGATACGCTGGCATTCATCAGGAGTTAAGGTGGAGATCAGGATATAGTAAATATCAGACCAGGTAAGGTGGTAAACCTGAGTGAGCCTAAGGAATTCTTTTCAAAATTTGGTAGGATTTTCAGAAAAAGTGTAGGTGAGCCTCAATCTGGGACATATCAGACATGGAAAAAGGAACATGAACCTGGACTGTCCCGCCCACTCCTGCCACCTCCATAAAGGAAACATGGGTTGGGGAAGGGCCCAGGACCACGTAAGGGGTGGGGAAGGATGATAACCTTTGTAGTCAGTGGGGCTGGGAGTTGGTGCAGAAGGGATGGGGTAGAAGAGGATGGTGTGACAGGTAAAGGTGGTAAAGAGTGGGGGTATGATAGGGAGGAGGATTGACAGGAGGTGGGTCATGAAGGGTCATGGGGTTGGTGGGGGACTGTGTGGGGGTGCGGTGTGGGTGGTTCATCTGGGTCTAGGGGATTGTCTGTTATTAAGGTCTTTTGGGGGTTTGGGAGGTGAGGAGGCGAGGGTAGATTTTATGCTTCCCTTAGGGGAAGGTCTATCTGATAAAAGAAGTTGGTAAGCAGAGCAGGAGGAACAAAGGGAGGATCTTGAATGGAGCAGAAAAAAAGGCCGAACGTAGGGAACTTCTAACCATTTGCCAACCTGTTGCAGGAAAGTTGTCCAAATCTCAGAGAATGGTGGGGTCAGAGGTGCCTTATATAGAGTAATCTGTTTTACTCAGTCTGCTGATTTTAAATGTTACCTAAAAATACCTTCACAACAACATTTAGACATAATTAACCAAATATGTGGGCACTGTGACCTAGCCCGGTTGACACATAAAATTAACCATCACAGCTAGCCTACCTCCTTTGTTTAGGACTTTTTATTGTTTAAGGTGATATAAAAATAATTTTATTTTGACTCATTAATTCAGTCAAATCAGGTACATACTTGATTAGTAGTACATCACTTTTATATTTAGCTAAATTGTTTTGGCATCCGGGCAAAGCTTAGCACAGTTACAAATTCCAAATAAATAAATTAAAAATGGCAAAGACTTTTTTTTGGCTATCCTACCTGGTGTAATGTCTTCAGTATTAGAACATCTAAGGTAGAATGACATCGGAAAGATTAAGCCATGTCAGTTTTCATATTTTGCACTTTTAAGTTTAAGATACAACTTTGGAAAAGAATCTTTTTCCCTCCATGCTTTAGTTGGCTTATCTATTAAAATTTAGAGCATTTATCACATTCTTCATTATTTGTGTTCTTTACTTTCTTCCTTTATGCTCTTTGTTCCTTTAATAGCTGTTTCTCTGAGTCAAAATAGTAAATTATTCATTTTCCTATTAATCTTCCTCAAGTCCTTACTCAGAGGAAGCATCCAAATATTTTTTAGAATATAATCTGTTAATATAGTTTGCTGTATATAGTAAAAAAAAGTTTTTCTTCAAAGCCTTATTAAATATGTAAAACATTGTATGTCTCTTATTTGTATTTGTATTGTATGTCTGTCAATTATGAGGCTTATGTTTTTTTCTCTTCTCTTTTTTTTTTTTTTGCAGTACTGGGGATTGAACTTGGCTTCAAGCTTGCTAGGAAGGTGCTCTACCACTTGAGCCACTCTGCCATCCTTTTTTGTGTTATTTTTTAGTTGAAAGAGTCTTGCTTTATGCCTAGGCCAGCCTGGACTATGATCCTCCTATTTGTGCTCCTCTGAGTAGCTGGAATGACAGGCGAGTGCCATGGTGCCCAGCCCATTGGTTGAGATGTGGGTCTCTTAAATTTTTTTGCTGGACTGGCCTTGAACCAAGATGCTTGAGATCCCACCTACTGAGTATGATTATAGGGTTGAGCTACCATGCCTGACTCAGGACGTTACTTCTAATTGAAACTCTAATGGAATGCTTTATCTTCTAAGATTTATCTTTGTAGATTTCTCTATTAAAATCATTCCATTCAGTTACACATAATTAAAGAGATTGATTTTGGGTTTTGCCATGTAGTAGTTGTCACTTGAGGCAAATTTACTTAGTCTCTCTCACCCTCCATCCAATTCAAAGGAATACTGAGGATTATAATATATCCTTTGCCAAATTTCTATGATATTTAAGTGAAGTAACATGGAAAAACATCAAGCAGAATGTTTGATACATTGTAGATACTTATTAAAATGTTGGTTTTCTTTTTTTTTTTTTTCTTGTCTGTACTGGGGTTTGAACTCAGGCCTCATACTTCTTAGGCAGGTACTCTACCACTTGAACCACAGCCTAGACCTTTTTTGCTTTAGCTGTGTTTCAAATAGGGTCTGGTGTTTTGTTCACCTGCACTGGCCTTGAACTGTTATCCTCCCAGTTTCCACCTCCTTCATAGCTGAAATTATAGGCATATACCACTCCGTTTGGCTCTAAAATGTTGCTTTTCTTTCCACTCCTTCAGGGATAGTACTTTCAGCTCTTCCTATTAGCAGAGTACCTAGTATTAAGTATTCAGTAAATATTTGTTAGATTGGAGATGTTAATAATATGAGAAAACCTTATGAATCACAAGAAATTTAGTGGGTTCATTTTAAATATTTGCTAATCTTATTTAGGATAGAGTTTAAGCTGTAAAGTACTTTTCTTTCTTGACTCAGTTTAGTATTTTTTGGGTAATAAGAACATCTAAATGTTTAGCTTCTGTGCTTTTTGTTTTAGTGATGTAGCTTGGTTCAATGAATCTTGGTTAAGCCGAATTAAAGACGATGTTGGGGACAACTGGAGAATAAAGGTATGCAGAATGAATGGGGTAGCACTTGATTCAAACGTAGTCCCAAGGTTAGCACTAGGCTCAACTAAATCTTTTTTTAAAAAATTAATGTGTGAGTGCATTCTATTGTGTACAGTTTGAGTTTTGACATGTGTATGCCCTGTAATTACCATCATAATTATAGAATATTTCCATTAATCAAAAACATGCACTTAGTCCCCTTCCCAGTTAATCCTCAACCCTCTCTGTCCCCTGGTAGCCATAGATCTTTCTGTTACTATAGATTTCACTTCTAAAATTTCGTACAAATGGAACCATTTAATACATGTACTATTTGTGCCTAGCTTCTTTTACTCAGTATGGTTTTGGAGATTTATCTGTGTTGCTTGTGTTAGTAGTTACTCCTTTTTTTTGCTGTGTATTTTGTTATTTTACACACAATACGATATACCACAATTTGTTTAGCTAGTCACCTGTGGATAAATGTTTGAATTGTTTCTGGTTTGGCTTTATGAATGCAGCAGTTATCTACATTCATGTATGAGTCTTTCTTAGACACATTTTTGTTTTCCCGTGGGAAAATTCCTGAGTAGAATTGCTGTGATATTTAATCCTAAATAAGAAACTGGAAGACTTTTCTTTATTTTTCAAATCCTTTTTCTCTTCTCGCTTTGTTATGTTTTGTGGGGTATAATGTTTGTTTCATAAAGGTTGTCTAATTTGTTGACATATAGTTGTTCTTCAGTATTATTAGTCTAATAACATACGAATGACTAAAAATGGTCTCTAAATGATGTTCATTTCTTTCCTAAACGTGGTAATTTGTTTTTGTATTTTTTTCCCAATAATATCTCTTACTGTTTTTCAATTCTATATATTTTTTCAAATAATTACTTTCTATTTCTTGTTTATTAAGATTGAAACTTAAATAATAGGCCTTTTTTTCTCCTAATAATAAATACCACCTTCGGACACATCCCACACAATTTGATACATTGTGTTCTTATATTCATTTAGTTCAAAGTACTTGGTAATTTACCTTGTGATTTCTTTTTTGACCTTTGGATAAATTAGAAGTAGGTGAATCAAATTCAAATTCCTTTCTTTTATTTATTTCAAATTTAATTGCATTTTTGTCTAAGAACAGACCTGCATTGAGAAATTATTTTACATTTGTTGAGATTTATTTTATGACCTGACTCTAGTCTATCTTGGTGAATATTCCATATGCACTTGAAAACAGTACATACCTTGCATTTGTTCTATATGGGTTATGTCAAAGTTGCTGATAATAATGTGTATGTGTTTTATGTCTTTATTGATTTTTCTGTCTATTCTGTCAGTTACAGGGGGTGAGTCCCTAAATCTCTAACAATGATTGTGATCTTATCCATTTCTCCTTTCAGTTCTGTTAATTTTTACTGCATGTATTTTGAATTTCTGTTATTAGGTTTATTGCACATTATTTTTTATCTTCTTGGTGAAGAACTCTAATGTTTTTGTTATTTTTATCATGGAAAGTTTTTATTCTCTTTCACCTTGGTATAAATTTTCTTTCATTATTAATATGACACAAGATTTATCTCTTACTCTTTTTCACATCAGGCTAGTAACTTAAAGAAGGTCCTTCAAGGAATTATGAGTTATTACCATGAGGTATGAAAAATATATGACTTTAAATATAAAATGCTTTGTGATAGTTACATTGATGCAAATATGACCTGTTTTTTTGTTTGTCACATTTTTTTTAAAGTGTAATTCCTAATTGGAATATGCTGTATTATTGCCATTGTAGAGCACTCAAATTTTAAGAAAATAGCCAGGTTTAAAGCTTTGATATATTGGATTTGCAAAAAAAAAAACCCAGTTGCTTATGGATTAAATTAATTTAAATTGATTATTTTCTTAAATAGAATCTCATTAATTATTGCTTAGTGATCAGCTTTTGAATCAGTTTTGCCATTAAAGTATTTTTGTTTTTATTTTTTTGGGTGACACGATTAAGCTTGTAACTGTTCCAAAAAAATGTAATACTTTGAAATTTTTCAGTTATATGCCTAGAATTCTTTTGAAGCTTTTTTAATGGAAAGAAACTTTTAAAATAAGCTTTAGAAAAGTAAGGGTAGAAAAAAATTAATCCAAGGATTTGTTGTTTATTTGCAAAAGTGCAATGGTTTATGTGCAATTTTTTTAATTCATCATATATAAAATATTACAAATATCCTTTGTTTTAACCAGATTTTGTTATAGTAGTTTTGTTGTAGTAGACTAGGCCAGATGGTTCTTAGGCAAATCCTTGTCACTGTCAGTGGGATCAAATCAAAAGTAAATATAGTTGCTGTTGGTTGGCTACTCAAAATATTGAGAAGTTGCCTGATCATTGGTAATTGGTTTTAATCAATATTATTGATTTGTCATTTATTAATTTATCTGTTTCACAAACATAATTATAGTAATTTTCCTTTTAATAAGCAAGGTAAATTCTTTTGTAACTTACATAAATGAGTAATCTCACTTATTATTTTGACACTGCAGTTTTTGGGACAGCAGATTTCTGAAGAACTTATCCCTGATTTAAACCAAATAACTGAATGCTCAGATTCTGTGGAGCTTGGGAGGTTGCTCCAGCTTATTTTAGGTTGTGCAGTCAACTGTGAAAAGAAGCAAGGTAAGTGAAAATCAATTGAGGATTTCCACTTTCTAAAAACAATCTACATTGCTACAAGACTGTTAAAATTTACTGTTATAGCTTGGCAGAAAACACCTTGAAATGTAAACCAAGTCGGAATTCTAGCCCTCCTCTGCTACTAAAAAGCTACTTGAGTATTCTGTTTGTGCCTAGATTCTGATATTCAGTGACAAAATTAAATGCATTTAGTCTAATTTAGTCCATTTAATTTATCCAGTGTTTAGCACTTAATGGACAATCAATAAATTGTATTTATTCATTCAGTAGTTTATCTATTTTGTAAGTAGGATAGGTCCTTGGGTTGATTCAGTTTTTCGTAAGTAAATGTTCAGCTACTAAATTACAATTCAGGCTTCTTCAGATAGTATTTTGCTCTTTTTCTAGAAGAAATCCTTTTTATTCCATCCCTCCTGATAAATGGTTCAGTGATATAAATGTAATTGGTGCATTACATGAGTATATCTAAACATAGTGGTCCATATCCTGCTCTATAATGACAATATTTTTGGTTTCATGTACTAAATGAAATGATGAACTGACTGGACCCAGATCTCCCTCCTGTGGAGGCCTTTATTAGCCTAGGTGGTGAGAGTTTTGATGCTGAGTTTTGGTGGGTGTTTGCATAATTCGTCCAAAACTTGGTCTTACTGTGCCTCTCATAAAAGAATTTTGGTTTTGCTTAAGTTTGTAAAATACTGCAAGACAAGACCTTATAATCCACATTCAACATGATTTAAGCAGTGAAGAAAGAATACAAGTCAGAGTAAATTCAGTTAAGAACAAAATAAGAAGGGAGAAAAATAAAATAGTATGGAATCATTTGTAATTTATCAGTTTTCATAAAGGATAAGGATTGGATATCAGAAAACTTTCATATTACTGCATCTCTTTTTCAGAAGCTCTTTTTTCCTAGGGGATGTAAGTACTACTCTTAATAGGATTTTACTTCAACAATGAAAGACATTTGGTTTGGGTGGGTTAAAACCTCCCTAAATATTTAATCACCATTTGGCAAGTAATTATTCATGTATAAATCTTGTAACTTCCTGTTATAATTGTGATCCTTTATATATTTCTGTTGACTAATGCTTTGTTTCTAATTTGTTTTTTGGTAACTTATTTTTGCTTAATTAATGTTACCAGGTTTTTCAGGTATGTTAGTCATTTTCAAAGAACCAGCATTCGGCTTTGATTCTGTTTTGTTGTTATTTAATTTTTTACCTCATTTTGTTTTCTTGTGTATTAATCAGCTATTTCTATTATAAGCAATCATTGACATTTTAAGCTATAGTTTTCCCTGAAAGTTAGGATTTTATTGTCTCATGAAAATTTTGCTAGACTATCTAGTTCATAAATTTGTTCTAAGCATTATTAAGAATTTTTGTCCTCATCTTTTTTAAAGGAAATTCAATTCCTGGATGCATAAATTAAAATTTAACAAGGAGTAATTATAAAGAAATAATTTAATTTTCATTATTAAAAATCAGGATTGTCTAAATGTCTAATGGATTTACTTTTGGAAATATGTCTGAGTTTGTAATTTTTAGGTGTTAGCAGATAAACAAAAAATCTGTTAGTAGACTGGGGATGTAGCTGTGTGGTAGAAGCCTTGTCTAGCATATGCCGGCCCTGGGTTCCATCCCCAGCACCATAAAATGTAACCAAAAGAAAAAAAGCACTATTAGTAATTTAATTGAAACTTAGAAACAAGTCCAGTGCTGGTGGGTCCCACTTGTAATCCTTGCTGTTTAGGAGGCTAGTATCGGGAAGTTTGTGGTTTAAGGCCAGCACAGGCAAATGGTTTGAGAGACCCCATCTCCAGAATAACCAGAGCAAAATGGAGTGGAGGCATGGCTCAAGTGGTAGAGTGCCTGCTTTGTAAGTATGAAGCCCTGAGTTTAGAGCCCAGTCCCACCAAAAAAACAAATAAATAAATGAAAAACCAAAAACACATCTTGTACATAAAACAGCATCCACATGTTTGTACTTTGCCATGAGAACTAATTTTCAAAATGAAATTAATGAACTGGCTTGTTAACAATACCTTTGTTGATGAGGAAGATTATTTTTATGAAGGTTTCAGCCAACTGGAAACACTCCATTATCCAGAAACCCTCCCCGTAAAGAAAATCATTCCATTGTCCAGGCATTCTCTAGTTAATTCTTTCTCTTCAGCTTAGCACTTACTGGTCAGATGCATATAAGAGCATACCACATTCTGTCTAATTATTGGCATCACAAATAAGAGGTAGATTTAGAGGACTCAGAGGAGCTTCCCAGAAGAATAATTAAGTGAAAGTCTAAGCACGTAATATAAATTTGGGAGTAGGTATTTTAGCTGGAGAACAGAACAGGTGAAGTAGATTTAAATCTGAAAAAAAAAGGTGAACTACTCTTTTTTTTTAGGGTTCCTCATTTCCTCTTAGGACAGATTACCTTGACTTACTGAATGTGTGTTTGTAGTAAGTCATAAGTATCTCCTTGTGGTGAGACTGGTGGATGCTGAGCAGGTGTTGACAGGAGGGTGTGAAAAATGACACTGTTTGGCTCTAAAATTAGATAATTAGTGCCATAATTCTTTTAAGATTAATTGCAGTTTCTCTTACAAAAATTAGAGGGTTTCTTTTTTAGGCAAATACTTAAAATATTAATACATACATTTTTTGTTCTGTTTGTTCACAGTGGGCATATTAGTGGAAAATAATATATTTGCATAAAGGCCTTTATTGTAAATGGATTTTTATATTCTGCTTATTGAATAGTTAAGATATAGTAAAGAGTATTTTTTCAGATTTAATTTTTTTAAATCATAGAACATATTAAAAATATAATGACACTGGAAGAATCTGTTCAACATGTGGTCATGACTGCTATTCAAGAGGTAAGTTACCATGTTCATGTGAGTAAGACTATACAAAACCAAATTATATAAAATTTGGCATGTAAATTTTACAGATTTTTTTGTCTTGGTATAAACTTGCATTTGTAGAGAGCTTACTGGTGAATCTTCCTTTTTGTCTCCTAGTGCCAAAAGGCCTTTAACCCCAATTTTAGTATCTTTAATTCTGAAAGCCAGTTGATAAATTGATGGATCAGTTTCTCTTAAATAACTTCAACTAATCAAGTAAAGCAGGATAAACAGCCTTTGTGCAGATGGGAATTTTAATTTCTTCTCCTTTTTCTGCCATTTAGAGAAATCTTTCCTGAAATTGTGGTTTATATATACCATCTTCATTTTCAGAACATGAGGCCTGTGAACAAATATAGTGATACTTAGGTTTTAGAGACAAATAACCTGAATTTAAGCTGTTCTGATTTCCTCAGAAGAGACGAAAGGAGTCAGAATTCCTGGGGTGCTTTGTTGGTTCTTAATATGAGACTAAACCTCTCAGATGAAGTGGGGTACAGAGGAGACCAGAGAGAAAATAGAGTGAGTGAAAATACATTTTGGAAAGGGCATGATTTGAAGGAAGACAATCATAGGACTTTAGTAGCCTGTATAATCAGAATTTGTATCAATAAGTCTGCTTTTCTATCTAGTAATGGTATTTTACAGTGTCAGTTTTTAATATAACTCTAACTATTAAAATGACTTCTCACGTTAGAACTTAACCGTATCCCTTATTTAAAGGCTGTATTTTAAAAGTGTTAATTTATGCTACATAAAAATTGCTTTTTAAAAAGTCATTTAATATGTTCAGTTTTATTCAGTTATGTGTCTTTTAGAACTTGGATTATAATTTTTCCCTACATAAGTATTTGGAACATACCTACATATTTCAAGCACAATTTACTCTTAAAGTCCTCACTAATATGCTTGAATATTTGTAATAACAGGTTTATTTTCTTATAAAATTTTTATTTGACTATTGTTCTGAGGATCATCAAATTAAGATAAAGAGAAGCTTAAATGTAAATAATTTTATGATCCTTGTATGCAACTATATTTTTACTTCATGAACATTACATTATTATGCTTAATTTTACTGTTTTAATTTCCTAGTTAATGAGTAAAGAAATAGTGAGCTCTCCTACAAGTGATGCTGTTGGAGAATTAGAGCAACAGGTAAGTATTTCAGTGTGTGAGGAAAATGTTGAAAATGATTTAGTTCCTCTGCCATTTACTTTCATAAGGCTTATATAGAAGAGCATGTGCAAAAATATCTTCTTCTATGAAACATACTTTATTGTACTATAATATAGCACAATAATAATATTTACTATAAAACATTTACTAAAAATATTTATTGTACTATAATATTATAGTACAATAAATTATAGTCTAATATTATTACACATTCTTTCATGAATATAAGTAGTAGTGGTCTCCAGAGTTTTTCTGTGATCATGTCCTAAGAGTTGAGTGGCACTGAACATTCCTTCTGACACTTGCCATACATGCATGGCCCATGCTGGATGGTTATACAATTAAATAGTGGAAAATCTAAAAAAAATTCTACATTTTCATTATACTTTTAATAGTAAGGTAATACGACTTTTGCTACTGTTCCATCCTCTTGCCTGATCATGAAGAAACAGCTCAGAGACTTAGGGCTCTATTACAGAACTATTTTACAAGGGGGAGGAAACCCACACTGTCCCTATTCATAACCCAATCTGGGTTGTAGGGGAAAGGGTAGAGGAGAGGCAAATGCATCTTTAGACATCTTTATTTTGTTTTTAGACATGTGTTTTTTTTTAATGAGTGTTACTAATCATCTCAGGAAGTATTTTAAATTTTTAAGTTTTTCATAAAATTTTGTGTAAATGTAAATGTGTTGTATTCTTTCTAATTTTTTCTGTGAAATTTAAAAACTCCTCTAATAATTTTTTTAAATACTCCACAAGTATTTAAATAGCACTTTATTTCTGTGGGACCTTTGCCTTAAATGTTAGTTACTTACACATGGACAACAAAATTGAGACTCATTTATTGATAGGTAAATTCTAAAATCCATTTCTAGTATTAGTCTACATGTGATACGAGAATTTCTTTTTCTATTTTTGTTAAATATAATGTATTGAGACTTATGTTTTATATTTCAGCTTAAAAGGGCTTTGGAAGAACTTCAGGAGGCCCTAGCAGAAAAAGAAGAGCTGAAGCAAAGATGTCAAGAGCTAGATATGCAGGTGTGGACAAAGAATCCTGATTGGAAAAGAGCTTTCTCTTATTTCAACTAATTAACTGGAACATGTTTTA